TAAAATCTGAGATTTATTGACATTAATCCTTTGGCCCGTCCAATTGCAGAAGTCTTCAACAATCTTCTTCAATGATTTGGCTAAAGGAATAGACACATGAGAAAAAAGAAGTACATCATCTGCATATAAGAGATGAGTAATCCTAGGGCCTCGAGGGGAGACCCTAATACCAAGATCATGCCCCTTCTGTTCAATCGAATTAGACAACAACTGGAAGCACATTATAAAGAGATAAGGAGATAATGGGCATCCTTGCCGAAAGCCACTATGAGCATCAATCCATTCAGAGTTCCTTCCATTAATCATTATAGAAAATCTCACACCTACAACACAATCCATGAGAAGTTTAGAGAACGTATAAGGAAATCCATACCATTTAAGGATCTGATCAAGTACAGGCCACCCCATACTATCATAAGCTTGTTCCATGTCAAGCTTCAAGGCCATCAATCCCTTCTTGTTCTTGGATGACTTAAACTTATGAATAATTTCTTGTGCCAGCAAGCAATGCTCAGAGATGGATCTACCCGGCATAAAAGCCATTTGCTCTTCAGTAATAAGATTCCCAATGCATTTCTTCAATCTATTGACCAATATAGTTGCTGCAATTTTATAATTAATCTGACATAAACTAATCGGCCTGTAATCATATGGAGTTAATGGGCATTTGATCTTGGCAATCAAAACAATGAGAGTGTCTTTCCAAGACTTGTTCATACGGCCAGAATTCAGAAAGCTCCTAATAGCTTCCCATAACGTTTTCCATATTATATCCCAATAGTGTTTATAAAATGAAGAAGTCACTCCATCCATACCTGGTGCTCTATTGTTGCCCTGTTGAAAAACCGCAGTCTTCAGCTCAGCCACCGTGAACTCCAAGCACAATTCATCAACAACTCTTTGATTTAGTCTTTGCTCTTCCGAAGCATTGGGCCATCCATTTAACTCACAATTTCTGCTCCTCCATTTAGCTTCAAAGAAATGAGTGAACACCTTCTCTATTTCCTCCTCTTCCACATGAACTATATTATTCACATCTCTAATTTGAAC